GTTTCTCTAAAAAAAGAATATAAACATTTGTAGTTTTTGTATATACATTATTATATTATAGTAAACTGAAAACTTTAATATACATAAGTTTACTTGGTTTTTGTACGTGCGTGTGAGATAGATGATGCACTATTTTTTCTCTTCAAATTCTTTATCTTTTTATATCTTACAAATTGTTATCTGAGAATAGACGTCTTTTAAGACACTACAATGAACGTCGGGTTGTATCACAGACGTCCTCGGGCCATACTACAGATCTTCGGGACATCTTATGGACGTTCCCAAGACATCTTTAAAACGTCTTATCTCTGCACAAAGGTGTGGACAATATTGTGGAACGTCCATAAAATGTCATCTGAATACGGACGTCCAAAACCGGGCGTCATGAAATGGACATGTGAGGGCATATACGGTACGCGCGCGTCCCGAAGACGTCCGTGTATTGTGTGGGTTGGCGCGAGGCACTGCCGTGCCTCTTGTATTGTGTTTTTTTTTTACTAAGCGTGTGTAAACCTTATTACTTTACGCTATAAATATCACATTTTATTTTAATATAAAATAAAAAAGAATAATTAAAAAATATATAATTCACGTAAAAATAATATAGATAGATGTACAGAAAATCTAAGAATGAAAAATAAAACGTTAAAGTTGCTTGATATACTTGTACACAACAATGACATAAAAAATATTATTTTTATTTAAACATTTTATTTTATACGTTGTACAAATAACATATTTGTAAGTATATTTTTATAAAAATAATTTTGTTTTAGTTAAATAATGTAAAAAACACACACAAAACACAAACTCTATTAAACATCTAGTAGATATTGCATTAAGCTGACGTTTAATGAAAATTTTGTTCTGTGTTAGACACATACACATATATAAAACTACTCATATAATTTTTTTGTTAAAATTTAACACATTGAACATCATCTGTATCTAGATGAGAAATAAGTTCTCTCATTTGTGAGAAAGTTTTACTCATATCTAAATAAAACAAATTTTAAAGAATTTGCAAAAGTATTTAATAGTAACAGTTTTTACTATTGCACAAAACTAATTTGAGTTTCTATAAGAAATTTAATTTCTACTGGATGGAGGTTTAACATGTTAACTAATAAGCTTACAATCATTATTAGAACATGTTTCTTAAGATTTTGTAAACAAAAGAGAGAGAGAGAGAGAAGAGGGAGAGAAGAGGGAGAGAATTATTGAAAATATTTATTAAATCTAGTACATTGCAAGTTGCAAGTATTTGTTCGCGATAAATTTATGTGGTGAAATGATGGAATTGTTTGATGCTATATTCGAGCTTCTAAAAAAGATATATAGTACGTCTGTAGGTTCTTGTCTTGCAGATTTCCGGCTGATTGTATAATATTCACTTTCTGCATTATTTGTTCATCATCTATGCGTTTGAGTATATTTTGAGCGTTTTATCCCTCGATGTTATCGCCACTAGCGTGAAAGATTCTTGTCGCATTCGGCGTATTTGATTGTTTTCCTGCGATATCGCCTTGGCTGCCATTATATTCGTTCTGTTCATTAGGATAGTATTGCTGCATCTGATAATACTGCGGAACATCTTGAAAACTCGTCGTATTGTTGTTATGATGTTTTTCTATTACAGGAACATTTTATTAAATGGTGGCAAATATAAAATGATTGTGCGTATAAAAAAACTGTACTTTTATGCCGGACATGTCCAAACGCCGCCTCCGGTGTTGTCTCATATAGGTAGACTATACTATGGTATTTAAATGTTACTATAGTATAGTCTACATCTCTCTCAGACATGTCTAGCGGTGGAGAGGGAACAGGTTTTGCCCACCGCTTCGGCTCCGGAACCGGTGTTTGGACATGTCTGCTTTATGCTGTCGTAAGATAGTTACGTTACTGTTACCTTTTCCACTATGTGCGTAAAAAAAAGTTCCATCTCTTTGTCTTTGTTGCGGATATTTCGTCATAATAGATTCGTTTTGTCGTTTAGATCGCAAGATATGTACTGGAAAATTATCAAAATATTTACTGTTCTTCAAATCGTTGCTTAAGACTTTTTTCGAAAATTGTGTATTAGTTTTTATAGGAAATTGTAGTTGTATATCTTCTGGAATTTCGTTAGGATTCTGCGTGCCGTTTAGTCTAATAATAGATTTCCCGCACAGCACCTTTTATTGCAAATACATCTATTACACAGTGTACATATTAGATACATAACAATATTGCATTTACATTGCGTTTTATTTCATATCAAATATAATGTATTAAATACGGAGTTCACGCAATGTGGATTTGAAATATCTAACAAGGAGAGACCACAACGTTGTACGAATCGATTTAGACGACATTTATAGGATCGATAGATGACTATATAGAGTATTGCAGAGTAAAGTAATAAAAAGCAATACTCAAGCATTTGCGAGAAAATCGAGTTCGAAAAATCCGAGTTACCTTAAGAGGATATGAAATAGACCGTTTAATTTTGAAGAGCGTGTAGCAGATTAGTAGTGGTGACATTGCTGATTCGAGTCTCGATAGATTTTTTTTTTTTTAAATATTAAAGATGTGTTTAGAGGAATGATCTCCGGTTCAAATTGATGAATCCAAGTGGTGTGTTTAAGTAGTCGGCTTATGCAAACCGTTGCTTGATGGTTTGCAAAAATTGATATGAAGGAAAAAGAATCTTGTTTACAAAACGTTTCGCCTTTTTATTTTAGTCATCTTCAGTTGTACACTGTATAATAGATGTATAAAATTAGAACGCAGACAATAAGTACTTAAATTAAAAGTTTTCGATTATGTCAAATGATATTGCAAATCTAATTTAATTTTCAAAAAAACACGAAATTCAATAGACTAACGTTTATGGTTATAACATATACGTAATAGGTACAGAGTGTCAATTTACATAATAAAAAGGGCAAAATGAGTATTAATCGTCAATGCTTAGGAGAGAAGACTTCTGTTTTGTTCGGTAGTTGCTTTGCTACTGGCTTAAGATACTATATGTCCGAATTAGTGATAGTTCCCTCTGTGTGATAATGTTTTACTTCGATTTCGTCAAGTACAAGTAAGTATATATTATCTAGAGATTTGGTGTCAGTCATAAGATTTAATATATTTTTGTGTGATTTTATGTGAAGCATTTCTGATGTGGTTCTCTTGTGAAAATTTGATTCAATGTCTAAAATTTCGATTGAGTTTCAATTAAATTTGTGATCGTGTTTTATTTGATGTTTGGCTAGAACTGATGTGTCAGTATGTCCTTTGGTTACATGATATTTATGTTTTTTAATTCTGGTGTGAAGTTGTCTTTTAGATTGACCGATGTAACACATGTCACATGTATCACACAATATGCAGTATACTATGTTTTTTGTTTGTCTTTTGGAACTTGGTCTTTATGTGTTTTGATATATTTAGACAATTGAATCAAATTTCTGCAAGTCTAATCTTACTGTTGTTAATTTTAATATTGTTGAAAAATTGCGAACTATTTGGTACATATGATGTTACAAAATATGGTGTTACACATATGGTGTTTTTTAATATAATTTTTTTCTACAATATACTCTAAATGTAAGTAATACGGTTTTATTTATTGCATGTTATAAAAGTACATTTTTTGCATAAAAATGCGTGAATTAAAAAAATATGGTTTAAAAAATAAATTACTTATTACGAATTACTAATTGTGTTAATAAAAAGCTGATAATTAATTGTGCGCAACATGTAAAAATATACGCAATATGTTTACTTTATTGGAACTAGATGGGACAATACATAATGCAGGATATTTGTCATAAAAACAAGTGAAACAATAAGTTTCACGACAGTGTCACATCGTATGAACGTTTTACATTCACATGGTTTCTTTAAAATATCTATTAAAAAACATACTTCGTTGACATTCATAAAAATATCTCTCTCGTTTATTAATTTTAAGGCAAATCATACATATTGTAACATATTTCGAAAACTTGTAGCGGATAATTGACGATATATGATTGAATGAATTTTTATGCAATTGTTACGTCCTGGCCTACGGTAACGGTCGGGCCCTTAAAGAGAGACGCAACTGACACATGACACTTTGTGTACTATCCCGACGCACTGACCTAATGAGATAAGTCAAGCATGCGAGTCGAGTGAGACTGTTCGGTGACGTAGTCAAGTCAACGAGTATACCTATATTACTTGTCTAACGTCTTCTCACCGTTGCTGCTTAAATTATCGATTGGTCCGCTCCGGCTCGCTCGACAAGCAGGGGCTCTCTGCTGCAAGGTTCGATTTCTGATATTGCGTTGTTTGTTAGAATCACGGTTGATTTTCGGAACGATATACTAATCGCATGTGGTTTGCTACTGCATAAGGTTTGACAGTGATGATTGAAAAAATCGGTAGCGGTTTCAGAACAACTGAACGTCGCGAAGCGCTAATCCGATGGCGAGGAAAGGAAGTCGGCAGCGGCTCGAAACGACAACCAAGGTCGTGAGTTGCTAGTCCGATGAGGAAAACCGAAGAGAAGGATTGCAGTTATTAATTGAACTACTAAATTTAATTTCTTTCTTCCGAATATCAATCGTTTATCAATAGAAATACTTAAACGTGCGCGTGGGAGCCCCTGAATTTCTTTGCAAATTTACTATATTAGTTAACACTCACTGCTTGTTGTCCTCAGTAGAATCTCGAGATGAAAGATCGACGCGTTTTGGCCAAGAGTCAGGAGTCCGTCAGCTAAACTCAGGTGGGATGAGTTGGTTGTTTCTTTTGACGGGAGTTGTCACAAGTCACGATGCTCACTCGCGTTCGCGGCGGCGAGACCGGAGTCAAGTTGAGAACCGCAACGGTCAGGAGGATTGAATTCTCGCAGCAGAATTCCGGACAAAACGGAAGGAGCGTGTATTTTTTCGTACGACCAAACTGACTTTAAATTGAACTGAAAAAATGATCTGACGAATTGGCGAGTTAATCTTTGATTGCACGAGTAGAACGAATAGAGCTGAACTTTTGTATGATAGTAACGGTACTTCTGATAATCCGGTAACAAATTTGGTAAAGAATTAATTGATTTGCTCCGATGTTCTAGCACCTTATATATGATGAGCTCGGGGCGTTAACCCTTCTGATTTTCGCCAATCGTCATTAGACTTTTGCTCTCTTACTCTTTACCGATTAAAATTTAGATCTCTCATTTGCTAATCCAATCAGGCGAGAGGACCAATCACCAACAGTCGTTTTTTCTGACTCACTTAATGTTTAACTTTATTATCTGCACGTGCAATATCCTGTTTATTTCGGTGCCCATAGCATTTGTTTCTAGAGATTAGCGGACCGTTTAAATTATCTAAGTTTATATTCGCGATTTATTCGCAAACTAAATATCCGGGCGGATTGTTGATTAATAATTCGCTGTGCCTTTGAAAGTCGATAAAATTACTTTCAACCTCTTCAGTCGGACTTGTTTATAAAAATTGCGATACGGGTGTGTTTATCTGAATTCAACAGGTCTTCTACTCTCTGCTCAAGGATTGTTATTTAAAATTAATTCTAAGGCGCAAATCTTAAAGCTAATTTATATCTCGTTGCAAATAGAAGGGGACTGTGGAGTCCAGGACGTAACACAATCTTTACCAGATTTATTCGCATTTTTGTTCTATTGAAGTCAAACAATTCTGCAAACACTTTATAACATTTTTTACTGTTGTGTCGCGGGTACTTTTATTTGATTAGTCAAGTGTTTTACGAAAACTTTCGCCGAAGGTAACTGGAATCCAATGCGGATGTCCAGTCAGCGGGTTGCTTGCCGCTACGCGGTGGCGCCTCCAAGGACGCTGAGGACAGGGAATAGCAGATGTGGCTGAAAAAGATGCAATGATCGGCATTGCACTTTTTCAAAGACCGGATGTTGCTTGTTTTCAATCACGACCGAGTTGGCTGACTGATAAAAGGCGACATCCGAGAGGAAAAGGTAGAATAGTTTTGAGAAGCGTTGCGACCGAAGGCTCTGTCTGACTGAGCGCCGCTAGTTCAGACTTATAAATAATAAGGTGTAAGAATCACCAAAGAGACATTCTGTACAATAAAAAAATAAAAGTTTATTTTTAAAAGTGAATATAAATTGGTTATTGACTGTGCGTTTCTTCCCATGCGGCGATCCTCGAATCTCACAAGGTGACATTATTTGTCTATAAAAATAAACATTACACGGTTGACATAAAGGTGTGCTATTTTAGAGGAATAACTTTAATAGTACATGTTTCTGCATTATCATTGAAAAAAATTTTGTCATACAATGCATGATTAGTTTGACCGCACCACAAATCTATTATTAGAAGAAATTTTTCCTTTTTTATATATAGTAATAATATTTTTTTAAATATTGTGTAAACAGATTTGTTGTGAGTTTTCCAGACTTCGAGAATGGTATCACGACATTTGTATACATAACATGTTGCAGCGTTCATACAATGTGCACACGGTCGTGAAAATTATTGTTTCACTTGTTTTTATGACAAATATCATCCTGCATTATGTATTGTCCCATCTTCTTTCAATGAATAAAACATGTTTCATATATTTTTACATGTTGCATACACTTATTAGGAGTACAACTTAGTTCGGTCCTTTTTTTTGTGTTCAAAAATGCATTTATTTCAAAACAAAATAAATGAACAGATTAATTAAAGTATTCCCTATCACTAGCTATTATTTTTTCTCATTTCTCGGGCAATTTACGAAGTCCACCTCGAAAAAATGACTCGTTTTTGGAGGCGATCCAAGTTTGGAGCCAATTTTCGATTTCTGCAAAAGAAGTGAACCGATGACCTGCTAAATCGTGCTGCATCCTTCGGAACAACCAGTAATCAGAAGGAGCAATGTCGGAAAAATACGGCGGTGCGGTAAAACATCCTATTTAAGCGTTTCCAAATATTTTTTTACGACTTTTGCGACATGAGGCCGAGCGTTGTCATGAAGAAGAGTAACTTTATCATGTCTTTGCTCGTAGTCCGGCTGTTTTTCTCGCAATGCAAGGCTCCAACGAATCAATTGTACCCAATACAGATCGCCTGTAATGGAATTGTCAGGTTTCAGCAACTCATAGTAAACAACATTCTTTTAGTCCCATCAGATACAGAGCATGATCTTTGAACTATGAATGTTCGGC